TGTGTGTGTGTGTGTGTGTGTGTGTGTGTGTGTGTGTGTGTGTGTGTTTTGAGGCAATATCTCACTAGCTGGCTTGGAGCTTACTGTATAGACTAAGCTGGTCTTGAACTCAGAGATCTATCTAATTCCCTAGTGCTAGAATTAAAGGCATATACCACCATGTACAGCCTCCTTTGTTTTTTGAGACAGTAGGTACTTGTAGTCAGTAAATAAAGAAAATGAAAGGGCTGCATGCATTGTTGGTAAGGCCATTTATAGCCTAGTCTTAGAGGAAGAAATGCAGATGACCACAGTAAGAGACAGTAGGAGAGGCATAGTTGACAGTAGAGTCATCCTATCAGTGGTTACTTAATTATACGTTAGATCCACTTGTGGAGCTCTTAGTACTTTCCTGCTAGACTACATACAAAGCCAGTTAAAGCAGAATCTTGATATCATCAGAGTACATCAGCAGGAGATTGCCAATGGCAGCAAAGCTGAAAGCCCGTGGACTACACTGTAAAGACTGGTGCGATGGTTCAGCAGGTAAAAGCACTATCCATGCAAGCCTGTTGACCCAGGTTCAATCCCTGGCACCACATACAAAGCTAGGAATGTTACCGTGCATCTGTAATCCCAGGACTCCTGCAGTGAGATGGTAGCAGAGGCCTCAAATTCAGGGTGCTCTGGACTCAGCCTCCCAAGTGCTGGGATTATAGGTATGTATGCCACACTCCTGCCCCAAGCCTTTAATGATTGTTGATGTCCTAAAGGCCTATAACCTGTGTGTGTGTGTGTGTGTCCCCTGGACCTAGAACTCTGAAAAGTTTGAGCTGCCATTTGGATTCTAAGAATCAAACTCAGACTGTCTGGAAGAGCAGCCTTGCTTTTATCCACTGAGCCATCTCTCCAGCCCCACTAAAGGCATATAATCTTTTTTGTATTATGTATTCATTATCTAGTATTTAATCTGTTAATGTAATAAACATATTAAACGAACAGTTCATTAAATAGTAAGTAGCTAACAGTTCTCTAAACATGTACAAATTGCTTTCACAACTAGTCAGCGAAAACTTGAAGAATAAAAGTGTGCTGGTGACACACACCTTTATTCCCACACTGGGGAGGCAGGGGCAAGTGGATCTCTGAGTTTGAGGCCAGCATGGTCTACACAGTGAGTACCAGAACAGCCCAACTAAGCAAGTTACTAATTTTTAAACATTAAATGTTTACAATTTCTAAGTATTTAATTAAAAATTCTCAGGGCTGTGGATTCAGCTCATGTAGAGTCCCATGTTGGATTTCTAGCACACAAAAAGTTAGTATTTTAAACACTTGTTTCTGTTTCTAGATAGAGCCTCATATAACTCAAGCAAATCTATAAGCAGCTGAAGGAAACATTTCACGGTGCATTACTTACCACGTTCTGGTGTGCAGTGCTTTTTGTCTATTATATTTCAGTGCTGGTCCATTGGTGGCTAGGTTTTCAGCACCCTGGTGGTAGCTTGATCTTACAGTCAATCAACAAATCTAATTTTTGTCTATTTTAGATAGGATCTTGCTAAGATACATCCTAAGCTGGCCTTGAACTCTCAAAGTTCCTGTCTCTGCCTTCCAAACACTGGAATCGTTGTACACAACTGTACCTGGCTCCATGAACAGATCTTTGACCTGTAGATGTGAAAATGTAATTCAATATTAGGGTACTTCAATGTGAGGCCCTGCATTTTTTCCCCAACACCTAAAACTAAGAGATAAAGGGTGTCCTAAAGAGCCTTGTTCCTTTCATATTGAGTACAGCACCAAGAATGAGTACCTAGGTAAGACTTATGTGTTGTACATAAGTGGTACGAGTGTGTGTGTTTGGTTGGGTTTATTCATTTTGGTGATGGATATCAAACTTGATGCCTTCGATATACTAAACAGGTACTCTGCCAATATGACCAAATGCATGTACTCAGCCTCCTGGGTGTTAGGATTGGAGGCTTGAGCCACTACATTGGCAATGTCATGTGGTTCTTCTGTCTGTTTTTCTGTCTGTCTGTCTGTCTGTCTGTCTGTCTGTCTGTCTGTCTGTCTGTCATACTTGAGGCCAGTGGTATCCCATGGAGTGTGAGGCAGTTGTGGGTTGCCAGATATGGGTGCTGAGAACTGAGCTCAGGGGTTCTTTAAGAATAGCAGTGTTCCTAACTACTGAGCCATCTCTCCAGCCCTGTTATTTGTTTATTTAAAGCTTTATTGTAGCCGGGCAGTGGTGGCACATGCCTTTAATCCCAGCACTTGGGAGGCAGAGGCAGGCAGATTTCTGAGTTCGAGGCCAGCCTGGTCTACAGAGTGAGTTCCAGGACAGCCAGGACTACAAAGAGAAACCCTGTCTCGAAAAAACATTAAAAAAAAAAAAAAGCTTTATTTTGTGTGTGTGTGTGTGTGTGTGTATCATCTGGTTACAGGTATCCATGAAGGGTGTCAGATCATAAGAGCTAGATTTATAAGTGATTGCGAGCCACCCAATGTGAGTGCTGGGAACTAAACCTAGGTCCTCCAGAAGAACAGGAGATGCTCTTAACTACTAAGCCATTTCTTCAGCTCTATTTGTCTTTTGATACAGGGTCTCCTATGTCCTAGGCAGGCTCTGAACTTGCTATATAACTTAGGCCAACCTTGATCCTTCTGTTTCCATTAAAGTACTGAGATTAGAGGCATGTGCTACAAGTCTACTTTATGTGGTGCTAGGGATTGAACCCAAAGCCTTGTGTGTGCAGGCAAGCACTGTGCTGAGATACATCCCAGCCCTTTTCGTTTGTTCATTCTGTCTGCCTAGTCTATGCATCCCTGGAACTCACTATGTAGAGTGTACTGGCTGCCTTAGTCACTTTTGTATTGCTGTGTGAAGTGACACCATGACCAAGACAACTTGTATAAAGGAAAGCATTTAATTGGGGGCTTGCTTACATTTTCAGAGGGTTAGTTTCTCATCATCGTGGTAGGGAGCATGGCAACAGGTGGGAAGGCACTGGAGTGGTAGTTGAAAGCTCTTCATCCTAATGGCAGTCAGCGGGCAGAGACAGACACTGGGCCTGGGGTGACATACCTCCTCTAACAAGGTGACACCTAATCACTAATATCAGCTGGAGACTAAGCATACAAATACATGAGCCTGTGGGAGTCGATTTCATTTAAAACACCACAGTAACCATGAACTTTTGATCTTGCCTGTGCCTCTCAAATGCTGGCTGCCTTAATGTCCTTCAATTTTGTGCATATTGCCTCATATCAAAATAGACTGGATTAACAAATATGAATTCCTAAGTGAGATCATATTGCCCATAATCATCAGGAAATTGATTCCACAACTTAGTTACTGTCCCTACTGGGTGGCAACTCAGGAGAAGAGACACTGGCATGGCAAAGTGAGAGACAGAGGCAGATAATAAAAGTTTCATTAAGTCATCACCAAGTATGTCTATAATAATTATGTAAAACAAGTGTTCGAAGAAAACTCTGAGCTGGATTAGTTGTTCTTGCTATTACAAAAATAAGAGCTATTTTTTAAAAGTCTGCATGCTTCTATGAAACCAGTTGAGTCTCTGTGTAACCCCGGCACATAGGGGCTACACGGTGAGGAGCTCACAGCCCTCCTTGGCTGCATAGCAAGCTCTAGCTAGCTCAGGAACTAGAAACTTTTCCTTCAACAAAAGTTTTTCTGTCTTAAAAGACAGAAAAACCTCTTCTGCTTCACAAATAGTACAGAGAGTTTACTTAGGGTAGTGACTGATATTTCTTTTTACTTTGTATCTTGCAAAGAAGTTTACAGTGATCAAGTACAGGTAGCTTCTTAGTATTATAACTCAACAATTATTTTATTGTTTTATTATTTAGAGACAAAGTCTTACTGTGTAGCCTTGGGGGGCCTAAAACTCTCTATGTAGACCAGGCTGGCTTTGAACTTACAGAGAACTGCATGCCTCTGCCAGTGCTTGAGATCAAAGGTGTGAGCAACCACTCCCAAAACAAAGACATTGAATGTTGAGACCTTGGGGAACATAAAAGTATAAACAAACTGCCTACTTTGGGGACTGGAGAGATGGCTTGGTGGTTAAGAGCACTGGCTGGTTTTCCAAATAATCCAGGTTCAAATCTCAGCACCCATATGCCAGTTCGCAACTGTCTGTAATTCTAGCTTAAGGGAATCTGACA